CACAACGACATACTTCGTGAAAGTGAGAACACCCGATTGCACCCAAAGGTTAGCCAGAACCTAGTAGCAGCCATGCAGGCGACCCAGGACATGCCAGAACCATCGTCGTAAGAAGGGCATCGCAAACTCCACAACATCGGAGATCTTGTGGAGGATGTGTGTAACACCTCGGGTGTTTAAATACTAAAACTGCCATGTCATCATATGCATTGCAAAGCATTTGGTCATATTCAAAACTTTGATATGCATTCACTAAAACAAGTTTACATTTATGTTATGAGTGTTACCTTGTATGATTTGGATCGAGTTCCAAGATTTGTTGTGATGTGGATTTCCGAAAACCCTGATTTCTAGTGATTTGTTTTACCCCGAAAACCCATTTCAAAATCAAAGTACATTTTGGGGTTGAGCCTTAAAGCAAAAATGTAGAGTTTGTTGAGTTGTACAAAGTTTGTTTTTTTAGTTTTCAAAGTTGTTTAGAAAAATTTGAAGTAATTTGAAAAGGCGAAATGTACTTAAAGTGTCCCCTTTTGAATTCAAATTTGCATTTCAAAATGTAGACCGAATTTGGGTATGGGTATAAAAGCAAAGTTGTAAAACTTTAGATTTTGAGCAACTTTTATTTTTGAAGATTTTTGAGTTGTTACATGAATTTGGGAGTAATTTGTGATTTAAAACGACGGGCAATTTTGTAAATATGATGAACAATGCCCGTGGAAGACACCTCATCGCCGGCGTGCTTCAAATGCGTTCTGGTTGTCGTCGTGGCCGTCCTTGGCTTCGCGCTGGTGCGGGGAAGACGCCGTCGTGGCTTCCTCTTGCTTCCTGGCCGTCCTTTAAAGGCTGAGACGCAGTCGCCGTCGTTCTTTTCTCCTTCTCTGTTTTCCAGTCGCCGTCGCTGCTCCGTTGAGCCCTCGCCGTCGATTTAGCGCCTGTACCGTCGCAGCAAAGCGCTCAACAGCTTCGCTTAATCCTTGCACACCTAGCCAACCAACTGTGGTCACTTGATTTCACCGGGAACCTACTGTGCGAGCCTTTCTTCCTCGTGGCCGGCAACCTCACCGTCGCGAGCGCGTCACCGTGGCTAGAGCTCTCTGGTGAGCCGTTGCTCTTGCTCAGTGCACCTACAGCTTCGCCTTGTTCCTGTGACGCTCCGTGACCGGTTGATTTCTCCTTTTGTCCACCACAGTCACCGGAAAATCGCCGTCACCGTCGATTGCTCCGTCGTGATTGCTGCGACCGTCGACCCGCCTATCCGTTATTCCTCCGGCTCGTCCATCACGTTCAACGTGTTCGGGGTGAGCTTCTGGTTCTTTCCGAGCTGTTTGTTTAACCGTTACCACACTTGTTTCGCCAGCGTAGCGTCGCCGAGTCGCCGTGTCCGTCATGGTCGGTGTCGAGCTCGATCCTCGCTGTAATTGCTTAAGCTAGTGCCGTCAATCGATGCAGGGTGGTGTGGGGAGTGTTTTGGTACCTTGGCCATCGCCGTTGGTCTCACCGTCGGCAAGTTTTCGCCGGTCAGCGCCGTCGTTGCCGTGGTCAGCGCCGAAGGTTGAAGATGACATGTGGGGTCGGGTGTCAGTGACTCAGCGGTTTGAAAATGATTTTTTTCCTTTTTCAGAAATGAATGAATAGTGTCTGTTTTTGTTATTTTTGTGTAGATTTATTTAGAGCTCCAAAAATTATGAAAATTTTTGTGTGACCTCTCTGTGATGAATACTATTTAGAAAAAATATGAAATATTGTTTTTCAGTACTTTTTGAATGTGATAAAAATTGCTCAATTAATTAATAAATGAGTTTCCATGATTTTTTAGGCTTATTTATTTATCCAAAAATTATGAAAATTATTTTGCCACTTAGTTATCATGTGATGAACCTATATAAAAATTTTGAAGTCAATTGGAACAAGTTGATTTATTTCATAATTTTAGATTTAATAATTAATTCATAAAGCAAATAGTAATCTTTAATGATTTAGGTTTTGATTGAATTTTGGATTGTGTGTGATGACCTTGGGTCATTAGTTGGTAATGATCTTTGGCAATTGATGTTAGTAGTATGAAAAGGTTTAGTCAGTTTGACTTATAACTGTACCGCGAAGGAAAGTTGTATTCAAGTTATTACTTTTGCATCCATCATCAAGCATCATGTCTCATATCTCGCATCATGTTAAACATGGCATTGTACTACGTGTAGTGAACGAAGGTGAGCACATGGTAGTTAATCAAGTAGTTGAGGAGGTTGATCCGTCTGTGGAGGTTGGTTTTGATATCGGTTTAACGACTCCGGAACCGGACTTTTCCATCAACGAAGGCAAGCCCCGGATGCATTTAAACCTACCTTGTGTTTTACAAAATTATTTCACTTTTGCTTTTATATATTGCATTAAGTGATTAGAAGTCAAGTGGAAACCTAATTGATGCATTACCAACCTTGTTTTTTCATATCTACCTTGTTACCAGTTTTAATTCGTATATGCCTAGTTTTGCTTAGCTATGCTTAGAACGATGAAAGTCGGGTGATTACCTGTTATCTGCAAGTTTTAAATGGAACTTTGGTTACTTATGTTATCATGTGATATGGGAATGTGGAGTAATAAATCTAGACCTGGCGAACTCGGTGTAGGGGAGCCACAAGATATGGAGGTCTTGTGAGCAGGTTCTTTTCGCCTGTGTCGATTAAGGCCCATACCGTTGTTGAACCGCATGAGGTGAGACTTTGTAGTACTAACCACATACTCCGGTAAGCCTTAACTTGGTTATTCTATCATGAGAATGGCTACTCGCGCATTGGGAGTGGAGAGATGGCGGGAATAGCGTGTATCCACGTGGCAATGGGCTGGATTGGTGGAGTACTGTATTCTCGGGTGGCGCGGATCCGTTCTTGTTTTAGAGGATCTGAGGGTAGGTTGATATATGTAAGTCGGGGACCTACATATGTCGTGTGGTCTAGAATCTCCAGCTGGGTTTAATCGGTTCGAATCGTCGTTGCTCCTCGGTTATGGAGACTCACTTATCTGTTCATCATCGTAGTTAAATAACTGAAACTTGAGGATGGTTTGTGAAGGTGTTGGTTATGAAGTTTCATGATCTCAATACTGATCATGTCAGCTTTGTATATGATCTTATGAAGTTTTAAATGTTGATGTAATGAATTTTATTAAAAAGTTTTTACGCAAAAGAAATTTGATTATTGCTAAAGCCATACCTTGAATCTCTGAGCCTGCATTCTTAAGTTCTATCAGTTTTTATTTTCAGTTAAGTCTTGTTGAGTACTTTTGTACTTAGGGTTCGTTGACCCTTGTTGCAGGTGAGCCTCATGAGCAGATCTGTTTTAGATCATGTTGCATGACTGTTGTTTAGTGCGATGACGATAAGTAAATGTGTGGCCCTTGGGTAGGGCAACTTATTTGTGTGTTCTGTAATATGTTATAATGCCACTCCACTACTTTGGTTTGTATTATTTATCGAACTTGGTTGTATGATTTGAAACAAATGGTTTGTAAACTAAGTTATTGTAAGACTTCCGCTATATTACTCTGATGTATTTATTTGAATAAACTGTTGTAATACTGCAATGACTCTATAATGGGATCCTGCTCGGAAATCGTGGATGATTCGGGGTTCCCCGTGGACACCCGACAGTCTTCTTAAGTTATCGGGAATATATGCATAGATGTCAAAGGTCATTGGACAGTGACAGATGCATGTGGACCCTATAATTTAGGAGGTTCTGCCACAATGTGGCAGCGCAGCTACCCGAACCAAGCTATGCTTATATTTAGTGCTTTCTATTCATAACCCAAAATAGAAATTTTGGGAGGTGACATTGTGTATATTCATTACCTAGTTATATAAGCATTTAGAGGCCACTTTAAGACGCCCACTTTTATCAACACGGTAAGGAAAGAAAGAAAAGTTTTATTTTCTAAAGAAGGTTCTAATTTAGTAGCCACTTATCTTTAACATAAAAATATGAAAAACTAAAGGTATGTTTGGTTTATTTCCTCGCTTAGCCATACTAACCTCCAACATGCACAGATATGTGGTGGGCATTTCGTCCACCAAACTCTTGGCATGGTGCAGCAAAAATTTGTACTACAAAAGAGTAAGGTGGATTGCGACATGTTAATGCTTAGTCACGAAGCAAACAGTTGGCCTCAGTACGCAACTTCCGTGTGACTAGTTTTGGCTACAAACCAAATATAACCTAAGGGACTGTTTGGTTCACTGCCTCAACTTGCCATGCCTCACATGCAGCATGCCATAGTTATTTTGCATGTTGTTTAACCTTTGACAGCCACAGTCGGTCTCCAACAAAAGCTCTCAGCAATCTCGGCACACTATGTGGCATCGAATTCATATGCCACATCTCCTGACGTGCCATAGTCTGCCACATGGGACGTGGCAGCCGCTGGCTGGCATCCAACACCCTCTAAGTATATTCTATTTACGTAAATCATAAATTAACTCTTATTTTCTCCTCTGACGTTATAGCGCATTTACTACCTATTTTTAATATATGATTCTATTAATTATTAATAATTTATTTATAGTCTCGAAAAGATCTAAGTATAGTATATGAATTAAAAACTTTTGACTCGGTAATAAGTCATCCGCAACCGTCGATGACGATACCGAGTCAATTTTTCATACACCAGAATTAACTCTGCGTCCCTCCCGAGTTACCAACTATAATAAATGCTGCTTTTCCTTGAAGCCCCGGACAGTTGTCCATCGGGCCTGCTTGTCAGTGACTGTGGAGAGCACGAGAAAGTGTGTGCCCACGACTTTTTAGACTTTCTGCTCCCGGCATCCTCTCCGCCAAATTTCGCATTTCCTTCGAGCTCCGGTGAACGGCGCTCCATTTTGGAGATTTCGCAACCGCTCCCTCGCTCCGCCATTTTTTTTTTATCGCCTCATCAGTCACTAGTTGGTCAAATCCTCCGCTCCCCCGCAGCCCTCATCGGCCTCTCCAATCCAGCTTTCCGTCTTCGTCATGCGCCACGAGGGTTTGGAGAATTTTGGAGCGGAGGAGGAGGCAAGGGGGGGCGGGCAGGGAAGTTTGGTTATGGAAATGGATGTGGAGGAATCCTCGCCGTCTTCGTCGCCGATGTCGTCTCCGGCCGGGTCGTCGGATTCCATAGACCTCAACTTCCTGCCGTTCCTCAAGAGGGAGCCCAAGTCGGAGCCGGCGTCACCAGAGCTCGGGCCCCTGCCGCTGCCTGGGCCCCCGACCCAGACTCCGCCGCAACAGCATGCGGCGGCTCCGGCTCCGGCTCCTGAGGCCTCGGTGCCTCTGCCGCCAGCGACTCCTGACCTCTCGTCCGCGCCGGTGATGGCGCCGCTGCAGTCGCTGCCACCTAACCAGGACGTGGACGCGCTCCTTCAGGAGTACTACCGCCTCGCGAGCCTCTACGTCTCGTCTACGGGGTCCGGGGCGATCGTCCCGGCGCCGGCGCCGGAGGCGGCCGCACCGGCGGTGGTGCAGTCCGCGTCCGGGTCCGTCGTGAAGAAGCGCCGGCCGCGTTCGTCGGACCTCGTGCGGGTCTCCTCGCTCGGCGTGCAGGACCAGATCTACTTCCGCGAGCTCGTGCGCAGGGCGCGCATCACTTTCGAGTGCCTCCGCGGGCTGCTACTCAGGGACGACGAGCGCGCCGAGTCCCTCGGCCTCGCGGGCGTCGCCGGGTTCGGCGTTGCCAGGGAACGGCGCCGCGTCCGCGCGGACCTGCGCGCCGCAGCGCTCATGGCGGACCACGACCTCTGGCTCAATCGCGACCGCCGCATCGTGGGGCCGATGCCCGGGATCTCGGTGGGCGACGCCTTCTTCTTCCGCATGGAGCTCTGCGTGCTTGGCCTCCATGGCCAGGTGCAGGCAGGAATTGATTATGTCACTGCAGGGAGGTCTGCATCTGGGGAGCCTATAGCCACATCTATAATTGTATCTGGTGGGTATGAGGATGATGATGATCACGGCGACGTACTTGTGTACACTGGGCATGGCGGCCGTGATCCCAACCTCCACAAGCATTGCGTTGATCAGAAGCTGGAGGGCGGCAATCTTGCGCTCGAGCGCAACATGGCTTATGGTATTGAGATTCGTGTAATCCGTGCTGTCAAGTCAAGACGAAGCCCTGTTGGTAAGGTATACTTCTACGATGGCCTCTACAAGGTTGTCGACTACTGGCTCGACCGTGGGAAATCTGGGTTTGGTGTTTATAAGTATAGAATGCTGCGCATTGAGGGCCAAGAGCCCATGGGTACTGTCAATTATCGAGTAGCTGAACAGCTTAAGGTGGATGTGTTGGCTATAAGGCCAACAGGGTATTTGAGCTTTGATATCTCCATGGGCCGAGAGACCTTGCCAGTTGCACTCTTCAATGATGTTGATGATGATCAGGACCCACTCTTGTTTGAGTATCTGGCACGGCCAATATTTCCTACCTCTGCTGTCCAGGGGAAGTTTGCTGAAGGTGGTGGTGGTGGTTGTGATTGCGCTGGGATTTGCTCAATTGGATGTAACTGTGCAGGGAGGAATGGTGGCGAGTTTGCATATGATAAGACTGGAACCCTGCTACGAGGCAAGCCACTGGTATATGAGTGTGGGCCATACTGCAGGTGCCCACCTAGTTGCCCCAACAGGGTTAGTCAGAAGGGGCTTCAACATAGGCTTGAGGTATTCCGGTCAAGGGAGACTGGGTGGGGAGTTCGGTCTTTGGATCTCATTAAGGCTGGCACATTCATTTGTGAATTCAGCGGGATTGTCCTTACTCACCAGCAGTCAGAGATTGTGGCAGCGAATGGCGATTGCCTGGTGCGTCCAAGTAGGTTTCCTCCAAGGTGGTTGGATTGGGGTGATATATCTGATGTGAACCCTGATTATGTGGCTCCAGACCATCCTGCTATTCCTGAGTTAAACTTTGCAATTGATGTGTCAAGGGCAAGGAATGTGGCATGCTATTTCAGCCACAGTTGCAGTCCAAACATGTTTGTCCAGTTTGTGCTGTTTGACCATTACAATGCGTCTTACCCCCACCTCATGATCTTTGCCATGGAAAACATTCCACCATTGAGGGAGCTAAGCATTGACTATGGGATGGTTGATGAATGGGTTGGACAGTTAACCATGTAGCTGGAGTACCTATTTAGAAGGCAGTGCTCTCTTTCTTTTCCCTTTATTTTTGAAGTTTCCATAATGCTTCACTTGGGGATCATCAAGCCAACTGCTGACTAAAATTCCTCAGCTGGTAATTCTCTTTATTCCTCATGTGCTATTTTTCTTTTGGTACTTCATAGGACTGTTTCTTGGCAGTAGTTACTCATAATTTTCCTTCAAAGATTGCTTTGTGTATGTGGTTGAGTTCCATGTGTACTTCAAACTTTATATTTTGCTATACTGTATACTTGTGCTCAGATCTAGACTAATTATAGTATCGTGTCCTTCAAAGATAGCAATGCAGTATAGATAGCAGTGCTCTCTTTAGGAGGATGTGTCCTTCAAAGATCTAGACTAATACTGTATACTTGTGCATTGCTATCCTCCTAATTTCTCTACTTCATTGCTGATTCAGTGCTTTGGTTAAAAAAATCTATACTGCAGTTGCAGAAGAGGTTGTATGTCACTCATTTGCTAAACCGTCTAATGCGCATGATCCACGGCTGTGGCCCTTGGCACTTGCTAGTTATGTCTGCACACTGCATCCTAGCAAAATCTAGATAGTAACTTTTATTCTTTTTCCAGTAAGAAAGATGATGATGTTATTGCATAGCCATTAGGTGACCATCTCTAGTTTCTTTCCCTGTTGGTTTGTAGTTTCATTGACCTGGACATGCCTATTCTGCCAATAGATGAGGATTACCATTGTAGATATTTAGTTGAACTACCAGATCCTATGGGACAAGGTTTCATCAAGATCATGTGTGGTATCAAAGATTGATGGCTGGTGAACAATAAAAGAATCCTGCAGCAAACTCATGTGTTAGAACCCTATTACAGTAGCTTGTAGTCCTGATCATTAAAAGATTCAATGATGAGCATGTTGGGCTTCTGAAAGTTTGACAGCCTTAATTGTGTGAATGCTGGGCTTCTTAAAGTTGCTGCTTTGGTCACCAGCCCACCACCACAGCTCAATGATGAGCTGTCACTAATGGAGTAGTTGTCTTGCAAAACCTTTGATATGGTTAGACAATACTGGTTCCTGTTATGTTTGCATGCTATAATAGAATACTTCATGAACAAAACATCTGTTGTATACTTGTATGTGGTGAGGAGACATAAAAATCAAGTTGACAAAGCTTCTGTTATTTTCTGTGGCAAACTATTGAGTAGTGACCCTTTTTCCTGTTTTGTTGGTTTAGACCCAAATAACCAATATCATTCACTGATCTGATGTCTCTTTCCAGCTATTCTATGTCCAACTGCTCTTTATTCCTCCACTCATTATCACAAATGATCAGTTGTTCCCTGTGTATGCCATTGGCACTTGTACAGTTTTGAAACAGACATTTTGCTCATTGCTCTATTATATTTGTGCAAGGATTTTGCATGTGACTTCACAAAAAATTCTTATTGTGGTTCATATGCTCTGCAGTGATAGTCAAAATTGTCAGTTATTAACTGATTACCTACTTTCATATTTGCCTAAAGTTGTGTTATGGTTTCAAATTTAGTCCATACCAAAGTTCTGGATAGTTATAACTCACAATTTTTTGTCAGATTTATCTGATAGCTACAACTTTTGTTTGTGTTTCTGATATGGAAGAGACATATCTTGTACATCTGTGTATGAAAACTGATATTTAACGTAAGCATGCAGGAGACTGCTTCATAGCCTGTAGAAATATTTATTGTAAATTTTGGGTAGCATATAGCATGAGAGTTTTACTGTGAATTTATTATTGAGTTGTGTTCTTTGGCTTTTATTCTAGTTTTGCAGTCACGCATGTGCCTCTTTTGGTTTTCTTTTATTCAGTTGAGTGTGTACTTATACATACCTGATGTAAACTTACAATTGTCCAAGCAATGGTGATTTATCCATAAATCTAATTAGCTGTGCACATTATTATTTTGTGCTTTTACTGTATTTTTGCACTTACATATTGGTTCTTAGCATAATATTGTACTATTTATTCTTTTTCTTAAGTCATTTGATCCACTTTAGATTCAGATACTGTTGTCTTTTTTTGCATGCTTGATCCCAACTCGTGTTGGTCCAGTATATGCTGAATTGCTGATTGTTTCATGCATATAATTTATGAACTTAGAATGAAACTCTGTGCATCTTCAGGTGTTTTTCTCCATGCTTGCATAATTAACTTGAGTAACAGTTTCCCACTATTTCGTAAATTTTAGCTAATAACTACACAAATGTGGTTGCTCTTGGCTGTTTACTAGTCTTTTAGAAGTCCTAAAATTTATGGTATCCTTCTTTTTTCAGTTCAACAATGGAGGTTTCCAACTAGCATAATGTTCCTCTGGCGATGACAGAGGCTTGCATAAGGTGGACCAAGCTGCACTCATTGTCATCAACAGTACATCAGCCGTTCATTGTATATTTTGCCTGATAACCTAGGTGCCTTGGCCAATTTTCTAGATGAACCCGCTTTTGAAGTATTATATGTGTGCTGCTGTAGGAAACTTGTTTGGCGTGGCTGGCGCCGAATTTCAGTCTTAACCTTCGTGTTATGAGTTGTTGCTGCTGGAACTCATTTTGTACATATATCTGTAAATTATCTAGCTGGAAATGTGTGCTCTTCTGTTGGGAATTGTTGGTCCATATGTGGCAAAGTTATTTGCATACCTTGTGGAATTGAAGATTCGGCGTAGCCAGGCTTGTCCAGTAGGTCATTGCATTGATGGTTTTGTGAAAGTTCTGTTGAGCGAAATTATTTGCATCCCTTGTGCAGAACTCCGCATTGCGTCATGTACTGAGTCAGACAATGAGCGTCATGTACTGTGTCAGACAATAATGACGGAGATGTCGGTGTTACTACTGTCCTTCTATTGGTGCGCTACGGACCTCTTGGAACAGATGCAGTGATGGGTGTTGCATCGTCATCGTCACCGTCTGTGAAAACTAGTGGACAACCAATCCTGCTTGGTTGCTCAGTCTCAAGCCTCATGACCATGAGCCACCATGAGGACGCCTTCAGATGTTCCCATGTTGCAGCGTCATTCAATCCCCACAATTTCGGGTTTTCATGTGGTATTGACTAATGACAACGTCAGGTGAAATGAGTCTCCACGCATCTTACTATCATATACTCAATCCATTCCAAACTGTAAGACGTTTAACTTTTTTGACACCAAGTTTGACAACTCGTCTTATTCAAAAATTTGTGTAAAATATCACTTCTTTCGTCGTGATTTGGTTTATTAATAAAAATTCTTCAAGAATGACTTAAATTTGACTATATTTGTACAAATTATTTAAATAAGACGAGTGGTCAAACTTAGGGCCAAAAAAGTCAAACGTCTTACAATTTGGGATGGAAGGAGTACTTATCAGCCTGCGCTGTCTGATGCCAAAGTCATTATAATCTGCAACATAAGTGTAATTAATAGCAAAGACAGTCAATGATTTCAAACGCAAGAGTGGAAAATCAAAATGAATGTAACAGGAATACAAACTAAGCAAATAATTGCATAACACAAGAAAATAAGATGAAATTATTATTTTACTAACTGTACAACTCCCATTATAGAAGTAGTAAAAAGTGGAACTGCTTCCAGAAATCCCCAAGCCGACACGGTAAAAAATTAAGTACAGAAAAAAGGGATTAATAAGCAAAGGCCTAGATGCAAAAGAGAGAGAAAAGGAGGATGGAAGAGTACTCCCTCAATCTTTTTTTTTTCAGACGTTAATCAGATCAATTTTGAGCTAACCAGCGACAAACACATGGGAATCGAGGTAGTACAAGAATAAGTACATGAAATCAAGCATTACTCGCAGCAACTGAAAAGAGGCAAAAGTAAATAATTAAACTATAACACAACAAATAAGATTTATTCCCCCGTTTCAAATTATAAGGCATTTTAGCTTTTTTAAATACATTACTTTTACTATATATTTAGGCGTAGTGTATATCTAACTACATAACAAAGAATGTGTCCGAGAAATGTTAAAACGTCTTGTAATTTAGAATTGAGGGAGTAGGAGACTGGCATGGCTACCTTGCCTCACTTTACTCCATCATTGCCTCTACCTTCTCTCTATGCATAGGGGCAGGGTGAAGCCCTAGGACCTGCCCCCCCCCCTTCCACCCTAGGGTCGTCTCAACAATTTCAAGGCCTCTTGGACAAGCAAGCGGTTGGTGCCCTAGCAATATAAATCTTTTAGGGCCTGCTTGACATGACTCCGGCTCCTGCAGCAGCTTCTGCGGAGGAGCTGTACCCAACAATTTAGAAAGATGATCTGTTTTCTGGTGAATAGTAGAGGAGTCAGGGCTATTTTGGGGATTTGAGGAGCTACAGTTTGTGGCTCCTCCTCAAGTGCTCCAACTTCTCTCGAAGAGCACTTGAAGATGAGCCATGCAAAACAAGACCTTAATATGACGATTAAAGTGCATAGTACTACCAATAAAAGTTAACTTGCAGCATACGTTGGAAACGAGCGGGAATAGTCAAATATTGGAATAGAAAGCGACGAACAGGCTAATTCCATGTTAGTTATGCTTAGTATATGAGCCTTTAAATTTTTATTTCAATGAACCAAATACATATACTAAGTACTATATACATACATATACTCGTGGTCCCCTCGTGGCCCTCCCCTTCCCCCTCCCCACCCAACCCCACCTCCCCCGCGCATAAGGGTGGGCGTTCGGTTCTCGGTTCGGTTCTCTCGGTTATTGATGAAATTCGGTTCCTGGAAAATGGGAACCGATCGGTTCCAAAAAATTTTAGGAACCGAGCATTTCGGTTCTCGGTTATTTCGGTTCGGTTCCGGTTCTAACCGAACTAACCGAATTTTTTCAAAAGACCTCAGGACAACAATAAATATACCTGTTGTAAGGCAAATTTATGCAACACTGTGTTCATTTTTCATAATAATAATGTATAAAAAACAATAGCAATACAATAACACAAATATATAGTAGTTCAAATATAAAACACTACACATAAACCAAACATAATCTTACAAATACAAGTAAGTGAAGTATAATTCATGTAATTCGGTTCTTTCGGTTAATTCGGTTAACCGAGAGTAGGAACTGAATTTTCTTCGGTTATTTCGGTTCCTCAATATCAGGAACCGAATTTTTCGGTTCCGGTTCTTTCGGTTTCAGTTCCGGTTCTTTCGGTTCGGTTTTCGGTTAAATTTGCCCAGGGCGACCCGCGCATTGAGTGCTTGGTGGCACAGACAATTGGATATAAATGGAGCGAGAAACAATCAAGTCAGAGATAAAAGTCCTATTCCCATTAAATAATCTTTGAAGCCCTTATAACTCAAGAAAGGTATTTATAATAGTACAAAAGTATATGGAACGTCCATAATGAAAAAAAAATACTACACGAACAATTTAATCAAATTGATAAACAAAGCACAAGCACATGATAACTATTCACAAAAATAAATAAAAAGCATGACAACTTGTGAAGATCGCCTGCTACTTCTTACCCTATAGATGGTATAGCAATTTCAAAAGTATTATTAAACAAGAGAGTATATATAATTTCAAACATTATGCTAGAGATTTAGAAAACCACTCCTTATAGTTCCATGATTCCTGTTGTTTGGGGCAAGGTTAAGCTTAAAATCTTGAAACTTTAACTATCAACTTATAAAATATTAAATATCTAATTTGAAAACACTAAGACAACATGTATAGATTATTCTTAAAGTACTTAGTAGAGAGTCATAGTCAAATATATGTTTTAGAGACATGTTGTCCAAAACGACAAGAACTAAAAAACTAAAGGGATGAAGAAAGTGTTGGGTGCATTAGTTAGGTCAAAGGGCATTACTAATCACTCATACAAACCAAACTTATTTTTAAACATTATTTTCCATTCATCTCCTAACTTCATGCGTATTCGGTGGTATCCACTATACACGAATCAACTTTAGAGAAACCCGTTGACTCGTTGAGCCACTTAATCCAACGGGCTATCATTTATCCTAGACTAAATCAAGCTAGAGACACGAGCCTAGGCAAAAAGGTAATTAGGTAATCATAGAACAAAGTAAAAGGCACAAGGAAGGTAGTAGAACAATAGCCAGCCCTTTCATGTTTACTTCATGCTCCTTTTACATCCTCTCTTTTTTTCTCTTTTTCCATTTTTTTGTAGGAGCAGCACACCTCAGAACATACGCATTTTCTAAATAGGGGTAAAAAAGGTAAAAGGAAGATTCTCTCTCTCTCTCTCTCTCTCTCTCTCTCTCTCTCTCTCTCTCTCTCTCTCTCTCGGGAGAGAACCTAGATTTGTTAGTGATGCTAGATTAGTTGATGGGAGTTGTTGGATTGCCCCTTCCTCCTTAGACCTTTGAGGAATCAAAGGTAAAAGTGAGACATGGAAAATCCAATAGGAATGAAGATAGCTGAAGGCTAGGGTGGCAACCTGAAAAGGGATAGATATGAAGTGGAATGGAAGAGAGAGGAAAGACCAGGGGGTCACTTGTAAACTTTACCTAGCCAGCGGTGGACACATGATCCTCACGTGCTCTCTCTTCCACACTGGATGCTGACATTGCTTGCCACGTAGGATCTAATGGCCTGGCGAAGGTTTATGGACCCACAGTGAACTACTTAAAAAGTTTATATACCCAAAAATACATTTTGAGAGTTGATGGACCTAAATGACACATGTCCAAAAGTTAAAGGACCTTGCTGTATTTTACTCTTTTTTATTTGTTTTTGTGAATAGTTATCATGTGCTTGTGATTTGTTTATCAATTTGATTAAAATTGTTCTTGTAGAAAATTTTTTGTTATTATGGACGCCTGAGCACATGACGATTTTCTCAAGTGGCTAAGTCAAGTTAAATTTATTTATTTATACATGCACGCGACCACCTACAGTTTGGGACAAGTAAATTTTTCTCAAGTATGACCCTCACCATTTATGTCTCGAGAAAAAATTACTGTAAAAATATATTTTGTAATTAATCTAATAATATTTATTTGATATTTTTTTAAAATTTTAATCAAATTTAAAATTATTTGATTCCTCAAAAAACAATAATTGTACTCAGAAGGAATAACCGAAGTACCATTACAGTATTTCAGCTTGTACTCAGACGGAAGAACCGAAGTACCATTACAGTATTTCAGCATGCGTAGCTATAGGCGCCGTTCGGCTGACACGAAATGCAGCTGAAAATCACTGTTCAGAGCTGAAAAATACTGTTAACAGAAGTACCATTACAGTATTTCAGCTTGTACTCAGACGGAAGAACCGAAGTACCATTACAGTATTTCAGCATGCGTAGCTATAGGCGCCGTTCGGCTGACACGAAATGCAGCTGAAAATTACTGTTTAGAGCTGAAAAATACTGTTCACTCTCTCGTAAATTCCTCTGAAAAAGAGAATAAAATGCACCGTACCTAGACAGTACGGAGTTGGACATAGGGGCTGTACATCACTGGGAAATGGGTCCAGAGGACATGATCAGCTACAATTCGTACCATTCAACAAATATACTACAGCAAAAGGGCATCGATTGTTGTTGGAATGTTGGCACGGTAAAGATGGCAAATAACGTAAAAAAACTACAATACCAGAAGCCACCACATCTCAAAATCTACCAATAGATTGCAATAATAATCAGGACCGAAATGATTTGGGTTAAACGAAAGAATGTTGACAGCAAATCTGTTATAACACAATGAAAGAAGACAAGCGGTCGCTTCTCAATATTCGACGTCAGAGCAGTCGAAATCTCCAAATCTTCCACTCATCCCTCCTGTTAGATCCGGCAGAGTATAGCCCTTTTCACCCACAGCATAGTAACTTTAAAACCCCCCTCACCAATGCTATCATCACCTACTACTATCTATGCCCCGTTCCTGCCTTTTTTCGACTTGTTCTTTTTTTCCCGTGTCTTCTTTTTCTTCTCTTCAGGTGTTGTCCACACGTAATCAGAAGGAATGGCAAATGGGTCCTGGATGTCCTCCACGCGGCTGCTTGGGCCCGGTGCTGTCGAGAAGTTCTGGCGGTAAGGCGCCTTGATCCACTGAATCCAGGAGCTTGAAGAAGGCTGCACTGCTGGGCTCTTGCTGTTGTCAGGACTTGAAGGTGGTGTGGTGAACTCCTCCAGCGGCTGTAGCTCTTCAAATTTTGTGAATGTCACAAGCACTCTGATTGTAGGCACAACTGGAATAGCAACCTGAGGGAAAAATTCATTACTGAATTATACATTGACTATTACAATGGCACAGAAAGGATTATAACTGCAGGAAAGAAATTGTTATTCAACAAAGAGCAAGATTAGATAAAAGTATATTTCTGCAGTGGGCAACAAACAGGACAAATTAGTTTTCTCAATCTAAACATGCATGATTCTTAGTTGCATCGATTTTCTGAAATTATATACCAGCATCTGTTGAATGGATACTTCAACGAAGATTGCATATATCAATACACGAACCGTTGAATTAGAACTAAAGTCCAAACAAATGAATCAGGCAAACTATCTACGTTTTTCCTCTTGTATTTGAATGCTGTCTACTTGATCCTACTGCCTGTTTCCAGAGCATGCTGCCATATGAAAGTGCAATTAGTTTTTTTACCAAGCCTGCATACATCTATAGTACTTAGGAAAAAAAATATAAAATACAAGCATCTAAGAGCAACGTTCCTGTTAACAAATGAGTGGATAACAGTATACACTAGATGTAATAACAGTATACCTTATTACAGATTAGTAAGTAAAACATGGATAACACTAGATGGTACTATTTTCCTATGAAAAATTGTATCCTATTTCACTCATCTGATCCCCTAGATTCATATTTATGTTGCCCCTATGGGATTCCCTCACCCATTCCAATAAAAGTCTAATATTAGGCTAATGCTCCTTACTTGGCAGATATGGCATGAAAGATATACCAACATAGACATGTAGAACCACACCAATAATAACAAAAACAGGAACAATGTAACAATATCAATATCAGCAATCTAGAGAACGATGCATTGTTGCAAAGTGTAAACTGTAAGGTTGTCTTGTTACCAACTCCAATACCTAACTAAAATTATATAGAATGATCCATTTGAATCATAAGTATAGAACTTCATGCCTTGCATTGAAAATTTAGGCCCACATTATATTCTACTTCAAACTGAAAATAGAACCTTTCAAGACAAAAATAACATTAAACAGTTTCTGCTACAAATGAATATGACGTCTAAAGCAGGTCTGTAATATCAATAGTCACTCACCTGATAAACCCTATGGTCTACAGTAATTTAAATTGATCCTGAATCTGATTTTAAAACTTATTTTTCCTAAGGCAGCCAATATTGGAGCTAAGATTTGATAAAATCAGCAATATAGACACCAATTTGCACCAAACTTCCCCATGAATATTGATAGATGTTAGTTTTTCAACCATACAAAGTATGGCTCAATCTTAAGTTGACAAAGGTATATATATTCCATGATATTCATTGGTACGGAGATCTCCAACAGAAAACTCCTTTCAAAGCTTAAAACTAATAGTATGAGACTGCAATATAAAATCATCTAACTACTCATTGCCTACTACAGTAGTAGAGGACCACATTAACTAGGTAAGAAGTGACCATCTATCAGAACAGGATATGAATATATGAACAAGGTATCCCTAAAACATTTTAGCGACCATACAAGTGGTAAATGCTCTGAATTTGATCAGTAAACAAACACAAAAAAGGGACTCTCCAAGTATGATATTACAAAGATTCATTAACATAAATATCTGGCCTAGTAGAGAAACTTGATTGTATAAAATCTACCTTGCTACCTACTTTATCCTAGTCCACTACTATAGAGACTGCATGTTAAGCTTCATATCATTGTTGTTTCCTTGCACAAAACAGGATACAAAAAAGTTTAACAGCCAGAATCAATTTTAGACTAAGAGCACATGTTTCATACATCCTGTGCAACCAATCTAACACCCAAAAAACACTTTCTGTCTATGAATTATGAAATGTCACCGACAGTACAATTTCAATGTGCCCAATGGACAGAAATTATCGGATTTATGAAAGAGAATAACCAGGTCAACAATTATGTACAAACTGCAGCACATAATGACAGAAATTTAGATAGCTACGAAGGTATAAATATGTCGACTACTGCAAGATGGCTCTCCAATAGTTCTGAAACAAGCTCATGTCTTCAAGCATGCAGGGTAATTAATCTATACAGTGGCGATTTTTCTGACTACAGAAACTGACACAAAATTGAGTGTTAAACTAGATATGAAACAATCAAGGTGAATTAACAGCACACATAATGGAGGGACAAACTGTAGAGAAGGTATTGCATCTTGAAACATGTATCAGATCATACCTTGACTGGAAATGTTCCTGGAGGGAGTTTTGTTGTAAGTAGATCCCTCAAACGACGAATTGCCTTCACCTTGTTTGCAAGAATATCAAGCAATGGCAGCAGCTCCTCAGTCCGAAGAGGGAAATTTGGAGAGAGCCAGAGAACAGGCCTTAGTCCTTTCTTATACTCGCTTTCTTTGGAACCTTCTTTGCGCCTATGCTCATTCTCCGCAGAAGCAACATGTCTCCTATTATCCCTTTCCCTGATCCTTCTGTTGTCATCTGCTCTGACTACATCTACCGAATGCCTTCCTGATCTTGTTTGTACATTTGAGGGCGATTCAATGAGGTCGCTCACCTTCTCATCTACACAGAGCGAGCTCCTTGGAGGTGCCATCTTCTTCACCCCTTCTGGCTTGCTAACCTGACTTCTCTTTCCCCAATTACTGAACCAACCTTTCTTGTCATGCTTACTCTCTCCAATTCCAGAAACACTCATGTCCTCAATCGGTATCTCCCTCTCCCTTGGCTCAACACAACTATGTCGAGGACCAGCAAATGAGTCAGACTCCCCACCGGCATCTGGAGAATCCATTTTTAGAGCGGCCTCCAACTGCTTCTTCTCCTCCTCTGTCAGAACATCATCAAACCCCTCGCTCTCTGTATCATTGTCATTGCAAGATGAGAAGAATTCCTCATCCGTCATCGCCCCCGGGACCCTCCTTGACTTGACACTGACCACCACATGATTCATGCCATACACCTTTGCCTTCCACGGACCAACGGCCTCTGTCCGTTCCTGCCGCCGCCATGTGAGCTGCGGGAGCAGCACCGCTTGGGTGACGTCGATCCCCGGACGGAAGATGTTGGTCTGTGACATTGCAGAGACCTCCTGCTGGACCTCTGCCTCTGAGGCCGGGGCGCCTGCCCCCTCCAGCGCGTTCATAATCTCCTTGTCCTTGTGGTTGATCATGAACAGTGAACCCGGCGGCACCTTGCCGTCCTCCGAACCCTCCCCGAGGAAGAGTATGGTCTGGTCGGGCGCTGGATCTTGAAGCCATCGAAACCGGCGAGGGTCATGTCGGCGCGGAGGTTGGCGCCGCGCTTCCAGACACTGTAGGTGTCGGAGGGCGCGATGCGGGAGATGAATGGGATGACGGAGCTCTCGAAGTGGAAGGTGATCTCCATGTAGAAGTCCCGCATCCGGTGCATGGCAGCGACGACGCGGGGAAGGCGGCGGCACCACTTGGCCCAGGCGAGGGGCTGGTAGTGGCGCACGATGACGCGCGCCAGGGCCTCCTCGCGCGCGCAGATGGCCTCCTGGAGCGCGCTCCAGCCCTGCTCGTTCTGCAGGCTCCAGTCGGCGCCGGCCGCCATGAGCATCTCGGCCGCCGTGGCGTCGCAGAGGCGCACGGCGAGGTGGAGCGGCGTCTCCGCCCCGGCACGTCGCGGCGGTCGATGACCGCCGAGACGGCCTCGGCGCGGGCCTCCTCGGCGACGGAGTCCGCCTCCGTCCGGATCTCCTCGGGCCGGCGCGCCCGCGGAGCGCGTCCAGCACGCGGCGCAGCGCGGCGTGGTCCCGCGCCGCCACGGCGTGGTGCGCCGGCTGTGCGCGTACCTGGCGGCGTCGACGCCGGCCATCGCGGCGTCCGTCCGCGCCCGGCGAACCTCGGCCCCCCAGGAAGCTGAGGGAATCGGAGAAAAAAACGGCGCCTCTGCTCCTCGCTCTTATCTGCGGCGGCAGCGGAAGGTAAGGCTTGAGCGGAATGGATGGCGGCGGAAATCAATTGCCCAGTGATACTAAAGAAAAGAGCTTCCTTTCTTGCTTACCAGTCGCCCCCAATCTTGGAGTTCCTCCCTGCTTCCTTGCCTTGCCTCTTTGGGTTCTCTGCTCCCCCTCCCCTCTCTCCTCCCTCGGCTTGGCTCTGTTGTATTACTCCCACCCTCCGACCCTCGTCTCCTCTCCCTCTCTCTCTCTCCAGACCCAGGCTAGAGTAGACTGGGCAGCGCCTCCCCCTACCCTCACGTCATGAGGGGCTTGCCCAGGAACAGGGGAAGAGAGGGAAAGTGTGTGTGTGTGTGTGAGAGAGGGACACCAGAAGCAGCCTTGCAATGGGGCGACGTGAGAGATTGAAAAGAGAGCAAGACGGAAGGGGTGAAGAACTTTTGTTTTCTTCTCCCCTTCTCCTTCTCCCCCTCTCTCTCTTGTTTCTCTCTCTATCTACACATTTCTTCGGAGGGAGGAGAACCGTTTTGTTATGCGATTTTGTCCGTCTCTGTCTACACATTAAAATTACGCCGCTGATTGATCGCTAAGTAATCAATTGGCGTTTTATGATTGTTTTGAGCGTTTTGGATTTTATGATACGTCATGCGTGTGGCCACACCCCTGCAATGCGCTGCAGCAGAGAGCAATAGGGGGTGAAGTCCATCCACAGACCACAGCGTTGCTTCGTCTGTGGTGTCTGTTTCACCAACATGTCCAGTGGACATGTCTGGAAGGTGAGTGAGGCTATGCTTTCATCAGTGTGATAGTTACTTTGTTTCGATAATTAGGAAATTAGATGACTTCTCGGTAAATTGCTCTAAGATTTGTGAGCCGACCGTAAACTCTACTCCATAACCATGAGCAATGCTTAAATTGTTGGGCTAGTTTTGGAGCACAAACTTGTGTCTCTTCAATGGTGGCATCTGCATGAGATTGGAGAAAACGACAATAATTTACGCATACGTTCATAACCGTTATGTCTAGCTTGAGCTTTTGCATATAAATTGCTAGAGAAAACGACAATAATGTACGCACATGCTCATAATAGTTCATGTCTAGCTTGAGCCGTTAACATGTTGTATACAATTTTTTTGGAATTATCGACAGATAATATAAAAAGATGTGTACTCCATACTATGCTTGTTTTATACGTAATAACATCATCAATTGGCTTCTGTTTCAAAAATTGAAGAGCCAAAAACCATTGGTTCCTACGAACCTGCAATGGTTTTTGATTTATATGCCTTTGTTCCCTAAAGAAGTAAAGAGTGATAACTCATTGATAAGTACATTGTCAAAGGTTCAAAATTCCTCTAAGATTTGTGAGTCATAAGACACCAAGTGTATAACTATAAACCCTACTCCATAACCATGAGCAATGCTTAAATTGTCGTGCTAGTTTTGAAGAACATACTTGTCTCTTCAAAGGTGGCTATCCGCGTGACACAGAGAAAACGACAACTATTTGCACATACGTTTATAACCGTTATGCCTAGCATGAGCTGTTGTACAAAATTTTGTCGAGAAAAAGACAATAATTTGTACATATGTTCATAACCATTATGTTTAACCTGAGCTGTTGAGTTGTTGTACACAATTTTTTGGAGTTATCGACAAAGAATTAATGGAAAGATGTGTACTCTATACTCTGCTTGTTTTATACGTAGTACATCACTAATTGGCTTCTGTTTCTACAATTGAAGAACCTACAATGTTTTTTGATTTATATGCCTTTGTTCCCTAAAGAAGTAAAGAGTGATAGCTCATTTGATAAGTATAGTGTCAAAGTTCAATATTCCTCTAAGATTTTTTAGTCATAAGACATCAAATGTATTACCGTAAACTCTACTCAATAACGATGAGGAATGTTTAAATTGTTGTGCAATTTTGAAATACAAATTTGTCTCTTCAACGGTGGTTGTCCTCGTGACACGGAGAAAACATAGCAATTGTTTGCACACACGTTCATAACCGTTATGCCTAGCTTGAGTTGTTTTATACGATTTTTTTAGCAACGACAACAATTTATGCATACATTCATAACCGTTATGTTTAGCCTGAGTTGTTGATGAGTTGTACACAATTTTTTGGAGTTATCGAAAGAAATAAGGAAAAGATGTGTACTCCATACTTTGCTTGTTTTATGCGTAGAACATCATTAATTGCCTTTAGTTTCAAAAAAATGAAGAGCCAAAAACCTTTGGCCCCTATGTTTTGGTTGGTTCTCTATGAACCTGCAATGGTTTTTTATTTATATTTCTTTGTTCCCTAATAGGCAAAGAGTGCTAATTCATTTGATAAGTACAATGTCAAAGTTCAAAATCCTCTAAGATCTATAAGTCATAAGACATCAATTGTATTACTATAAACTCACTCCATAACCATGAACAATGCTTAAATTGCCTTGCTAGTTTTGAAGTACAAACTTGTCTCTTTTATAATAAGTATTTGTGCACACATCCATAACTGTTATGCCTAGCTTGAGTTCTTGTATACAATTTTTTTTAGAAAACAACAATAATTTATATAGATGTTTGTAACCATTATGTCTACCTTGAGCTGTTATATACAAACTTTTGGAGTTATCGACAAAGAAATAATGAAAAGATGCATACTCCATAAGCTGCTCGTTTTATATATGGTAAAATCATCAATTGGCTTTTGTTTTCAAAATTGAAGGGCCCTATGCTTTGGTTGTTCCCTACGAACCCACAATGATTTTTGATGTATGCCTTTGACGATGCTACTCTTTTTTCCAGTTCAATTGTTATAATAGGAAAATTCTGGAAGTGATATTGAATTGAGCATGACAAAACTATAAAACGTGCATTCCATGTCCTCTGTTTGTTTCCTCTTCAAAAACGAAGAGAAAAACTATTACTCCCTGCATTTTGTGTCTCTCTTCGTCATTGAAGGGCCGCCATTATATTGATAAGAAAAAAAGTTAGTTGCAATTTCCTTATATACCTCACTATACCACTTTTTTTTTGTACCATGTCTTTCCCCTCTACATCTACAAGACTACAAATCTACAACCTCAACTCTCCCTTCATGTCCAGCTTCTTGTCTGAAAACAAACCCACCTGTTTTTGCACAAGTTTGCAGGAAATTTCCCTTTGCTGGAGCTGGACATTGTTGCATGCACAAACGCCGTACTTTCAGGTAGAGACCACATAGCACCCAGGTAAAGAAAGTGAGAAAGATGAGGAGGAATGGAGAATGGCAGACGACGTGAAAAGGGTGTAAAAGATTGATTGTTTACCCCGATCATACCGGCATGATTTTGCAGAGGTCCCACGGCGCCCCTGGACCACCGAATTATTTAGGCAGGATTTCGAATTATTTCGCAATGAAACTCCCAGCGCCAGAGCCAGGCAGGGGCAGAAGAAGCCCAGAAACAGAAAGGGGACATGGACCCGGCTACTTGCGGCGAATTTTTATTTTTCAATCATTTTTTAATCAATATTTTAATAATAACCGCTCTAAAAAATATTTTCAGATCTGCCCTTTAGGTCACGCCAGCGACGCGACCAAACAACGTTGTTGCGCCAATGCATGTGACGTGGCAATATCTGCCATGTTGGATGGCATTTCCGACGTGAAAAAGTTTGTCGGTGGCGCGACAGTATTGTCTTGTCGCGTCACTAGGAGTGGCGGCATGACAAGACTAAATTTTCAAAAAATCATAACTCTTCAATACGAAGTCGGGTGAAGATGATTTTTATATAAAAATTGTAGATCTCGACGAGATCTACAACTTTCTAGTTTTGAGTTTTTTTCGTTTGAATAAGTTAAGATGCTCAAAAAAATAATATAAAATTTCAGCACCATAATAATAGTCATTTAAAAAATAATATCTTTTTTGTATGGTGTCAAATGAAGATACATTTTATATCAAAGTTATAGCTCTTAATGAGATCTACAAGTTTATAGTTTTGAGTTTTCATATTTGAGGTCGTTAACATACTCTAATAACTAATATAAAGTTTTAACAGTGTATTAATCGTGTATCAAAACTTATCTTTTTAGAAAAATTGTATATTTCTTATTTGATGTCATGTAAAACTATTTTTTAAATAAAAGTTGTAGTTCTCATTGGGACCTCCAATTTTGATATAAAAAGTACCATCGTTTGACATCATACAAAAACGATATTATTTTTCTAATGCGACAATCACAAATACGCGATTATTATGCTATTAAAATTTTATATTATATTTTTGAGCATCTTAATGACTCCAAATGTTAAAATTACAGACTACAAAGTTGTAGATCTCATTGAGAGCTACAACTTTTATCTAAAAAGTATCTTTCTTTGACAACATATAGAAATAATATTATATATTTTTCTAATGCGACGAGTACTAGTACGCGATTATTATGTTTCTAAAATTTTATATTATTTTTTGAGCATCTTAACGACTCCAAATGTTAAAACTCAAAACTACAAAGTTGTAGATCTCATTGAGAGCTACAACTTACATGTAAAAAGTATCTTCATTTGACAACATACAAGACCGATATTATTTTTCTAATACGACAAGTACTACTAGTACACGATTATTATGCTCTAGAAATTTTATATTATTTTTTTGAGCATCTTAACGTTCTTGAATGAAAAAACTCAAAACTACGAAGTTATAGATCTTATCGAGAGCTACAATTTTTATATAAATTTTATCTTCATCCAACGTCGTATCAAAGAGTTATGATTTTTCAAATATTGGGTCTTGTCACACCACTCCCGGTGGCACGACGGAACAATACTATCACGCCAGTGGGAGTGGCGTGACAACGTTTTTCACGTCGGAAACACCGTCTAACGTGGTGGATGTTGCTGCGCCATTACACATTGTCGCGCCAGCCAAAAAGG